TAAACCGGTCAGATCCCACCCCTGCCTATATCTGGTGATATTTGTGAACATGCAGTCATGAACACTAAGATGGTCAAGTGCGCAGAACATTGCTCTTTTATCCAGGGAAGTTTAGTTTTAAACTTTTAACTCAGTTACTTCAGTTCCTCCACCTCTGGAAAGAAAATGACTGATCCTAGCAAACTAAGAAAATGATTTCTTCTTTCAAAGAATCTACCCTCTTGCCTCTCACGTATCCTATAATTATCCGTCCCACATTTCCCAGCTCTAGCCCAATTACCTTTGACTGCAGCTGAAATCAGCAGCAATACATTTAAAAAAAAATGTAATATGTGTCCAACAGCTCAAAAATTATAGTCCTCTCAGGCATGTCAGCACTACATAATAAATGGATTTATTCCTAAAGGTTCAGCCAAGATCATGAGCAAGATTCAAGAAGCTTTGAGAGGAGAAGGAGAGGGCAGTGAAAACCTCTTCTAATTACAAATAGGTTTCTCTTCTGTTACAAGTGGCAGGAAAGGAAGGAAACAACAATGAAAATTAAATAAAAAAAAAACATTGCTTCAATTGTGCAGGTCAGAGATGTTTTCCACAGTAAAACATGGTAAGTACGGAAGTAATGCCCAATAGACAGCAGGCGCTACACATTTAGTCTTCCCAGCACTGTGAATTGATCAAATAAGTGGCAGTAGGGCACACTCATATGCATAACACATTTTGGAGCTGAGACAAGCATTTCTAATTCCTTGAAATTAGATTAAACTTCATGCATTGCACCTTCACATGACAAAGTTTTCTTGATGTAATTTTACCTCAAAATGTACCTGGAAATTTTCATATTTGAGTTTTGCACAAGTCAAAAGGTCTTAGAAAGCTTTTGTTTCTGATCTACACAGCTCTTCTTTTAACTGGGAATTTTATGGGTGTTTTCCCTGTTCTGCCTGCCAGTGACTTTTGTGCACCAATCAATTATATCTCCTATTTTGCTCTTTTGCATTTTTTTCCCCTGCCAAATGAGTTATTGATCAGTGGTAGACAATTATCTCTGGGAATTTATGTACCCCATGCCATAATCACAACAAAGATATTGCACTAATCAGTTCCATTCATGGCAGGCAAAAAGTTTTCAGACATCAGATATTAACATTAGTGATGAACAAAGGATAAGAGTCAGAATTTTTAGCAAATTTCTAGTGGGAGATTCCTACAGACTACTACATCGATTTGGGGGTAAGGAACTCACTTATCTGAGACTAGTAGAAGTGATAGTGCATGGATAAATGTGATAAGGAGATAGTGTTTAAAAAGGCAAACCAGTAGTAGTGCTAGACTTACAACAGTTCATTTAGTGATTGTTCAAAGTTACAATGGCATTGAATAAAGTGACATGTCCATTTTTCAGTTACAACCTTTGCAGCATCCCCATAATCATGTGAACGAAATTCCGATGTTTGGCAACTGGTTTTATATTTATGACTTTTGTTGTATCCTGGAGTCATTTGTTCACTGTTTGTGATCGTCTGATGAGCAAAGTCAATGGAGAAGCCAGTTTCTCTTAACAAATTGATTACTCACTTAACAACTTGTGTGTCAGCATTCAAGAAAAACAAACTCCCAACACCAAAACTCCAAGACAGGCATTTTCTCAAAGTTTCATTTTACTGTATTAGAGTAGTCGTACTGGCACATCTAGGAAAACCCGAATCTGAGAGTTCCAGGTTTTCCCATAGTAATTCAAAATCGCAACTCCATCCCCTGCACCCATCAGTACAACAGATGGCCCAATCACCATCCATCCCAACTTTGAGCCTCTCTTAACCGCTCATCACCCAAGTGCAGGAATGACATGACCTTGATTGCAAAGAAGAATGCTATTTTGGCTAACTACAAACACTCTACAAAATCCTCTCTCCCAATTTCCCAGTCACAGGAATTTGGCAGCATGGAAGCTCCTGGTGCTAATATGGTTTCCAAAGCTGACAAAGTGATTCACTTAACTGTGACAAGAATTGTTGCAAAATGGGGCGAAGCTCACTTAACAAATGTTTCACTTAATAACAGAAATTTTGGCACAATTGTGTTCATAAGTCAATGTTCTGTCTCACTTTTCTTCTTTCCCAAAAGATGAAAGAATACAAACTCACACAAACACAGGCAGGCAAGCTGGTCAGACTTCACAGAGTTAATTCTTTGGAACTGATAATATCCTTGGCATTCCTGCCTGCCAAGTCCGAACTGATAACAAATAAAAATCTACTCACAGAAAATTACAAGGCAGTCCACAAAAATCATTCACAAAGAAAATCTGAAGTAAGATTAAACTTTGTCCTATACAAAGTTCCAGCCGAAAACACACCCACTTATCCCCTGCGAGGTGTGGCTCAATGACTCAGCTCACTCTCTGACCCTCCCACACCTCCTACGTTGCTGCTCACATTTCTCCCTACGACACTGCTTAGGATCAAGCCAACACTCTTCCTCTTTACTCCCTGTCAGAGGCTGGTCCGATATGTCTTCCTCCTGATTAATCTCAGTCTGTTCCTTTTGGTTGTCTGATGAAACCTGAGGCATTATCAGGGAGGAATGCATTGCCAGAGAGGAAGGTCCTGGGGAGGAAGGCATTCCCAGTTCCTCCTCCTCATCTTCCAGGTCGTCTTCCTCTGACAGCATAGGCTCGGGAATCGGGGACACAACAAGTCAATATCTGTACTATTGGACAGTTTTGCCACAATAGCTAAGAATGAATTGTTACAGAACACAATTTGAGATGTGATTTTTTTTGTTAGAATAATAAATAGCATGTCAAATTGAGTACTTTATTAAGTACTTTAATGCATTAACCTCATTTAGCTATCCAGATATATCATTTTTAATAGAACTGTCATTTTACATTCATGGTTTATGTTTCCAAAATATCTAAACAATTAAATACCTTACTTGTTTGGCAAGTTTAAGTAAACATTGTAAGGTTTCAAGTCACACACAACCTTAATTTTATGCAGCATTAGACTTCAATTATAAGAATGAAACTGTGAGAGAGTTTTTCTTTGTGCAGGCCCTTGACAGGCACAGAAACCTTATTGATTTTTGTTTCCTGTGGATCAATAGCATTTCATAAGCATTCCCCTTCTTCCATGTCTCTGACTAATCATTGGCCATTATAATTTGAGAAGAATAGAATAGAATAGAATAGAATAGAATAGAATAGAATATTTGGCCAAGTGTGATTGGACACACAAGGTATTTGCCTTTGGTGCATATGCTCTCAGTGTACATAAAAAGAAAAGATACATTCGTCAAGAATCAACATACAACACTTAATGATAGTCATAAGGTACAAATAAGCAATCAAATCATACTAGGAAACAATATAAATCATAAGGATACAAGCAACAAAGTTACAGTCATACAGTCATAAGTGTGAGGAGATGAGTAAAAGGAAGGATGGGAAGATTAATAGTAATATAGACTTAGTAAATAGTTTGACAGTGCTAAGGGAATTATTTGTTTAGCAGAGTGATGGCATTCAGAGAAAAACCATTCTTGTGTCTAGTTGTTCTGGTGTGCAGTGCTCTATAGCGTCGTTTTGAGGGAAGGAGTTGAAACAGTTTATGTCTGGGATGTGAGGCGTCTGTAAATATTTTTCACAGCCCACTTTTTGACTTGTGCAGTATACAGGTCCTCAATGGAAGGCAGGTTGGTAGTTGTTTTTTCTGCAGTTCTAATTATCCTCTGAAGTCTGCTGCAGGACCAAACCAGACAGCTATAGAGGTGCAGATGACAGACTCAAAAATTATTCTGTAGAATTGTGATGCAATTGAGATATATGTAAATTACAAATTACATATAAGATCATGGATGATCTTTAAGACACACTGGTGTCCCAAAATATAATTCTGGTGCTCAAAGTATGACATTAATTTGTATAGATTTTGTTTCTTTCTCAAGGTTGTCAGTTGTTGCTCCCTTGTTGTTTAGTGTCTTGCTGTTACGTTCTTAACCATTTCCTTAAATAGGAGACAAACACCGGGGGCGGGGTGGGGATCCAAATGTTTTTAATCTTTTCAAGTGACCATATTGAGTGGGGAGAGATAATTGAATAATTTCATCCACAAATGTCCCTTTTACAGCTCCCCAAATTATGAGGTACCTGGCATTGTACCTAATTAGTGTACCTATATTTCAGCCATGTATTCAAAACTTTAAGTTTTTCAGTTAACACCTTACCTCTTCAAGAGTGTTAGAGACTGCTTTCCTACAAGATGTTTAAAATGAAATAAACATATCATTCATTCACATTTTAAGAAAGGAGTTTCATATGATTTCATTGTTAATAATCTTTTGTTTCTTTTCACTGCTGTTTCAGTATTTCTTCCTGATGCAGAGGGTTTGAAAAGTAGCAGTTTCAGTGAATGTAAATTCCCTTAATGCTACTTATCCAGGATTTGGATATGCAGATGTCTTCATCGTAGCTTAGACTATATTAATTATATAACATTTGTCATAGAAATTATTTTATTTATTCCTAATATTTTCAATTAATTCTAAAATGCTTTACTTTTTCCTTAAATTAAACAATGGCAATGTACAATTCTGAAACTTAAAAATTATTAAAATGTTGGCAGAGTTTTTGAATTTTATTGTTATGACACTACTTTAAAAACCAAGACATTTCTGTAGCTTTTTAAGAAAAGAGTTTGATTTTTCAAACTTTCTGGCAGAGAATGTTTTATTACTTGCTACTTGATAACTCAAGTCAGTCCAGAAGTGCTTAATAATCCCCCATTTTTAAAGAGCCCAATGATTATTATAAGTACATCAATCTAAAAAAGGAGAAATGAAAAGACAGAAGGCTCTCAATATTTTAATAAAGTCAGCGCAGCTTCTATCTTACTTTGGACTTGGCAAGCTGAATGCTCCCTCATATGTTTAATAACTCCTTTGATGTATCTGACAATTTTCAACAAGTAGTCTAAACTAAATCTTACTTTGCCTTTCAGCTCAAGTTCGGACATCATAAGAGATTTAGAAATAGATGGGATGTGTTCAAACTCATCAGATAAGTAAGTGTGAAATGAGATCATTGTTTTCCATGTCATAAAATTATCATTGATTTATTTTTGTCACTTAGCTAGCAGGAAACTTGGCCAGTGTGGTTGGAAAACTTGCTAACTATCTTGGCTTGGAGTCAGAAAACTTCATATATATAAAAAAGATTTGATTGCAGGTGAGCTTCCTTCTCCTGAAGGTCAAGTTCCTTCAGTTTCCCATTAGAATCCAGAAAGCTTCTCCTGATGGTGAGAATGCCATCTTCAGTCTGGGATGTTATATGGTAGGAGTGTCAAACTCAAGGCCTGGCCTGTGGGGCTGCCCCGGAAACAGTGAAGGACCAGCCCACGGTGCCTCTGCCAGCAAAAACGGAGCTTGGGAAGTTCACGTGTTGCCGTCCCAAGCTCAGGTTTCGCTGGCAGAGGGTTGGAGGAGACCTTGACCTGAACTGGGGAGTCTGTTTTCACTGGCAGAGTGCTCAGGCCACCACAGGCACTCCCGACATGAGTGACATGCTGGCCATATCCACCCTGACCACACATAGATACACCCGAGGTCAAACTCAATCCTGATGTGGCCCTCAATTAATTCAGATTTGACACCACTGCTATATGGTGCAGGAAGCACAAAAACAACAAGAAGAAAAACATCTGAAATGAGTGTGTTCCCTTCTATTAGCAAACCCTGTCTTTTCCTCCGCGTTCTGTACTATATTCCATTCCATTTAAGAGGGGGTACTCTGACCTTTCCAATAGAGCTTTGGCAAGAACAGAGTTTGTCAAGGAAGGAAGAGATAGCCAAGCCAGTTTTTGCTTATTCATTTCTGCCAGTACAGAATAAAGGCTGATATTAGTATCATTTTATTTCCAGGACTTCATGTTTTAATTGTTGCTTCTGTCTCTTCCAAGATTACAAACAAGCTGTCTAGTCAAAGGCTTAACACTGAAAGTACTAAAACTGTCTTGTCTTTCCATTATCATATTGCCATTCTTATTCTCTTGGGGCTCATCCTCACATTGACAGGACTGTGCTTTTCTCCCATCCTTGAACCAAAAAACAACAACAGTTGATATTAAAAGATTGCCTCTGAAGTCTACCTTGACTAAATATTAGTTGTCCATCTTGCTGGGAAGGGAAGGTTCCATGCACCTCATGAATAGTCATGCTGGCCACATGATCGTGGAAATGTCTTCAGACAATACTGGCTCCCTAGATTAAGAAACAGAAATGAGTACCACCCCTTAGAGTTGGACACCATTGGAAAGGGGAAACCTTTACCTTTATCTTTTTTCTCCCCTCCTCCGCTTCTCCTCTGTGCATTGCCTTTTTTCATGCAAACACCCATGTCAAATTCATGTTAATTCATTCAGTTTTTATTTGGAAATATATTTTATTTGCTTGAGGAAATGTGGAAAGGTTCATTGTTCCCAGTTGTCAGATTTTACACTCGAGGTCAGCAATGAACCTCAGACAGTCCAAACGCAGAATTTAAGAATAAAAATACTCTCAGACATGATTCAGTTAAACAGAGCTGTTTATAATAGATAAGAATGAAACCATATGCATACAGATTATTTGCACTGGGAAAAAAGGCTTTGTATAGGTGCCAGAGTTTAACCTCTAGGCTTTTCTTCTTGTCTTTCCAAGTAAATAGATATTTGGCCGTTCATTTAGAGGCCTTGGGCAATTCAGACATTTTTACCTAAAGATATTTTCTGATCTGGGAACCACACATTTCTACTTGACTAAACTGAGCGCTTATATTTAATCCAATTTGAGTGTAGGGTAAAAAAAGAAAACTTTATTCATAAGGTTGAAATTGAAATATTTGGTTTCTTCTATAGCTTTACACTGTCTAGTTTGGTTAGGCACAGGAGAATATATTCCCAGCCAGTATAAGATTTCTTTGTTTTGGTAGCACAGAGAGCTTTTTTTTTTTTAACTTTGTGTGACAAAGATGTTGACTCTTAGGAACATTCTAAGTAACTCCCTCCTGTTTTTAAAATGGGTCTATTGACATTTCTCCTGAAATAATGATTAGCAAGAAGATAAACAAAATCATCTTGACAGGTAGTTTATACAAAGTGAAAGAGATTTAAAACAAAACAAAATTACCATGCATAAATTGAGAAAATGCATTCATAAATTGTTTATTGCAGAGACTATTCAAAAGTTTGTAGGGAGCAATGTTAAACATTGCTTGAATTGGCTCTATCCCTTGACATATTGAGGTTACAGGTACTGTAGTTCTTACTAAAGGACCACATGCTCAGCAACTGTTCAGTGAGTGACTAGTTCTCATAGTTGTGGCCATCACAACGACCCTGCCAATCATGTGTTCAGCTTGCAATTTTGAGATCATAGCATCACACAGATTCGTGATTGCCTTTTGCAACCTTCCCTGCTGACTTCAAACAAAGTCAACAGGGAAGCTGGCAGGAGGTTATGAATGACATCCACATTTAACAATTTACTTAGCATCAACAATGGTCATGTGATATCATGTTTTATGACTGTCACCTAATGACAGAAATTCTGGTCCTGATTGTCATCATTAATCAAGAACTACCTATAATAGTAAAATTGAAGCTTGACTGTCAAAATGTTTTTTTTCCTTGCATAGCACGCCACCATTGGTTTTGAAAGAGGGGAAGATGGAATATAATTTAAAGATGCAGTATACTCAATCCTTGACTTACTTAAAATTTATGTTGCTAAGCAAGACAATTGTTAAGTGAGTTTGGCATCATTTTACAACTTTCCTTGCCACAGTTGTTAAGTGGATCACTGTGGTTGTTAAATTAGGAACACGGATGTTAAGTGAATCTGGCTTCTCCATTGGCTTTTGCTTGTCAGAAGTTGCAAAAAGTAATCACATGACCCTGGGATGCTACAACCGTCATAAATATGAGACAGTTGTCAAACATCCTAATTTTGATCAGGTGACCAAGGGGATGCCATAACAGTTGTGTGAACAATAGTGATAAGCCATTGTAACTTTCAACAGCCATTAAAAGAATGGTGGTAAGTCAAGAACTACTTGTACAGAATAACTCAAACTTATAATCTTCTTGTTGGGATTTGTCACTGGTGGATGATAGAACAATAGAGCTAGAGATACTGTTGAATTATATTCTGAATACAACTGTGTATTTTTTAAAATAGTGTTTGTAGTTATAGTTGTAGAAAGATTTAGTTTTATTCCGCAAATAGTAATTAATCAATGTGCGTGTGTGTATGTATATGTGTGTGTGTATGTACATAATTTAGATGAGTTTGACTTCTTATTAAGCTGAACTGTTTATATTAAATGTGTTATAAAAATTGTTTATGCCTTTTAAATCCTTTCAGTTTATGAACCTGGTTCATTTGTTGCATTAAACATGAATTATTGCATTATGGTATAAGGCGTTGTATAAACCTTACTGCAATTTCTTCAGTAAGGTATATTAAAAGAAAGTACAGCTTAGTGTTCTGTCTGATGTGTAGATATAGTCACCTTGTATGGTCTAAAACAGAGGCTTTCGACCAAATGTTTACAAATCTGTAACAGACCTGTATTAAATGTTACAGTTTTGTTGATGAAGATGCACTAATTTGGGCAGATGAAATCGTTCAAGTTACTCGGGTTTCTCAAACTCTGGTACTCTGACCCTCTTAATATAATTTCTTTGAACACACTTTCTCCATGAATAAACATATCAGACTATACTCAGACACAGCTCTTGCTAGACAGTATCATTCTCCTTCAACAACAAAAGATGTAACTTTCAGATTGCCTGGAATTGTTCAACACCAGGGAGAAAACATGTGCACACACGCGCGCGCGCACACACACACATTCAGTCAGTCAGTCATTTACTGCAGGAAGAAGAGGTAACAATTGTTCAGATTACCTGGTATGGAAGTATAAAGTCAGTATCAGAGGGTATCATCAGTATCATCCACTGTCTCCTTGACTGAGAAGAACTGTTTTGGAAGAGGGGAAGATAAGACTGAGCAGAAACAGTTCAATCCTAATCTTGTAATCTTGGACAAAACTCAGGAGTGGTTTTGGCCTTTTACAGGAGCTAATGCTAGAATTGCAAATACTATCAAAGGAGAGATTTACACCTGGATTCCACAACTATCTTCCCAAGATGACACAACCCATACTTGGAGGCCTCATAGCAATGAAGAAAGACTGCTGCTTTTTCTTTCATTGTCATTTATAACAAATTGCCATTTACAATATGCATGATTCTGGGAAAAATCCTAAATTTTATTTTTAGCTTTGTACAATTCTATTTTAGTTACTTTAAAGAAACACATTTTTTAAAATAAGAAAAACAACATTTTTCTCCCTCTGGACGTTTCCTAGAAAGCAGTTTGAATGTTAAAGCTCTTTCAAACTTGGATTTGATGATGATGATTTAAAAAAAACTACCTAAAAGGAAACTTGGCCAACAGAAAGGTCTTTTTGGAACAGTAAGTAGCACTTTGAATTATTTACCATGTTCTCTAGGAGAAATAATAAGATTTATTAAAATATAATGATTTCTATTTGATTTGAAAATGTAATCCAAATTATTGCCTAGAACATGACATTTACAGACTTTGTAGAGGAAATGGTAAATGTTCAGTTTAAGCTTGATAGTATTTTCCAGTCTTTTAAAATGCACGTTTAACAAAGAAGCGCATTATATGAATGATCGCTTATTGCTTTTAAGAATTTAAGTATTTTCTGCAGATTAAAAAAGTAGTCCCTTTTTTGTATGCCAACAACTTTCCAAATTAGCTTGTGTGATGACCCGTAGTCTCTCAAAATAACCTAAAACATACACTGCTCAAAAAAATAAAGGGAACACAAAAATAAGACATCCTAGATCTGAATGAATGAAATATTCTTATTAAATAAGAATATTCATGACCTAGTTGAATGTGCTGACAACAAAATCACACAAAAATTATCAATGGAAATCAAATTTAGCAACCCACGGAGGTCTGGATTTGGAGTTACACTCAAAATTAAAGT